TTAAAGCACTTTGAACTGCCTTGTTACTGAAATGAACCGTACAAATAAACTTGATTGATTGACCGAAACATCCAAACCTAATCAGTATTTTTTCCTGCGCGTTGCATTGTTCGATCTCAGGCAGCCGTCTTAAATGTTTTCCTCTTGTCTTTTCTATGCAGACTGATGGACGTTAAATTGTTTTGAAAAGTCTTTACAGCATTTGGCCAGATTGATTGGCAGCAACAGTTCCTTTTCCTCAGCCATCGCGGATGTCCGTCATCATTAAATCATTGCTGTTGCAGTTCGTATGAAGTGTTTTCTCCAGGCACTGAGAGTTTCTGCTTTCACTTCAATCTGTGGGAGATTAATTCAGTTATCTAGAATAAAAGCTACATGTTTCTGTCACATGTAACTAAGTAAGTAAGCGTGTTTGTGTCGTCAACAATCAGCTTCAAATTTATCCCAGATGCTGAAATTGAAGACAAACAACAATTTGAATGAATGAAAAGTCAATAAGAGTCGTTCCAGCTGCTGCCAAAGCAAATGGACAGTCTGTGGGAAATAAGACTCTGGATATGTTTGATGCCGTATGGGAAAATATCCCGGGGCCGCTGATCGGATCTAACAGGCGGTGTCAGACGTGTGAGTCTGAGGTTCAGTGTAGCTGAACGGCAGCTGGTCTATTTCTGAACTGCTTACTGTTTTTACTGCTAACTTCCTGTTGGGCTGCTGATGCCCGTCTGTCAGAGGCGGGCAGACTAACCAAAAACCAAACTCAAGTGAGAGTAGCACTACTCCAACATATTTTTATTCAAGTAAAAGGAAAAAGGTATTTGCTAAAAAGTCTACTCAAGTACCGAATAACTGGTCGAATTATCAATCATTTACTATTTAAAAATTACATCTTCAGATGGAAAAAAAATACGGGGTTAAGTGAAATGACAATTCATATAAGGAACAAAAAATAAAGAAAATGTTTCCCTTATGAAACTTTAACAAACTGCAGGTGTCTGTCTGCTGAATTTTTGGTTTTCATTCAGTGGGTAGAAAATCAAGAAATTTTACTCAAGTAAGAGTACATTTACTTGAGTAACATTTTTGAAAACATGCACTTTTAGGAGTATTTTACTACTCTGTACTTTGAGTAATTTTATTATTCCTCACAAGTAACTTTTCAGCAAAATGCTGGAGTTTGTTTTAAGTCAATAATTCCTTCATATTGATGAAAAATTCCGCTGGCGCCGTTACCTAGCAACGCCAGCCAAGACCAACCGGTAACCTAGCAACCGAGTTCCAGTTCAGGAGGAACTCGCCTTTCACTTCTAACAGGAAATGCTTCCCAAGGAATTATTTACCTAAAACAAGCTCCTATATCTTTCTGAAAAATTACTTGAGTTAATTTTCTCTTATTTCAAGTGAACTAAGTTCCCTGCAGTAGAAACTAGACCAGAATTACTTGGTAATATTTAGTGTTTTTGCAGTGTTTTGCCTGTTTTGTCCTCACCTGCATGTACGCGGCCCACAGAGCCATGCAGTTGGTCGGCAGCCCCAGAACGATGACTATGATGTAGAGAGTGGGCTGGAAGAACTGGTCCACCTTACTGTCCACATTACAGAAGGTGATGTTGCACATTGTCCTGTGTGGAGCTCTGTTTGCTGAGCTCATTTGGGTTCAGCTCTGTTCCCTCTGTGTTTTCACCCGGTTCCAGCTCCGGCGGCCCCACAGCGGCATGCCGACTCCGGTTTCCCGCCCAGCTCCCAACCTGCAGCTAAACCAGGAGAACCGGAAGCAAGCGGAGGCAGAACATCCGAGGAAAATCATGACTCCTCTGGTGTGAAAGGCCCGCGCCTGGAAGGTCTTCGCCTGTCATGATCCTCTCCCAGGACTCGGAAGAGCAGAGAAGAAGAAAGATGAAAGCTGCCTTATCGACACGGAGCTGGGCGTCCTTTGCAGGGACCAGACCTCATCAATCTTTTAGATATGGGAGGTTTGCCAGGTTCTGCTGTAACGTCGGTGTGTGTTTGGTCCCGACGACACATGAAACTCCAGAGGGAGGGTCGTTATCAAAAGACGGGGATGATTTTACAGACCATCAGCATTCTGACCCCGACACGCCATCCGTTCACCCGGGAACAAACCTGCAACAGAGACGAGGGAGAGTTACTCCACACACCAAACGTCTGGCTTAAAATGACAGAAACGAGATGAAATGATGGATGAGGAGTTTAAGGGCTTGAATTTCTGCATGAAAAAGTTTAGTTTCATTTTTTGTAAAAACTTTTCCAAAAAAAAAAATCAATAATTTGATCAACAACCAATAAGATATTATAGATGAACCAATGTATGATATATATCGTATGTCGATATTAATATTTCTGTTATGGCTGATAACTAATTTCACTAACATCCCGACAATTTTGGAAAAAACCAGGACCAAATAAAAATAAATATTGGTTATTCATAAATTATCGGACCGATACAAATATGTTAAAAAAATAACTAATTTCAGCCGATTTATTATAATTAATTAGAGATAAGTTTTAGGCCTGTCAAAATAAGCATTATATCAATCAATCACATTGACAAAATAAAGTCAATGATTTCCATTTTCATGATTTATTATTTCTCTCTTTTCAACCAACAACCAGATTATAAACATCTTCAGTTTGTCGTCTTGGTCTCAAGCAGCATTTTGCTTCCAGTGACTCAATAATTCATTTTATTTGTCGTTTTGTTTTTTTTATCATGTCTTCCAGTGTTAAATGTTCATGAATCACTTACTGATCTTTGAGAATGTGCTCATGCATTATTACGCCTTTATTACTATTATATTACTTGGAAATAGTTTTAAAACAACAATATCATTTACCACAATAACTTCTGGAATAATTTATCATCCAGCAAAATGTATTGTTGCGACAGGCCTTCACTGTAAATATGTTGATTTTTTTTGTCTAGTTTCTAGTATAAATGTCTCCATACATTTGAAATAAGACACATTTAGTTTGTTTTAAGTCTGTAATTTCTTAATAATGATAAAAAAAACACTTTTACCCCATGATACAAGAGAAAAATTATCAATATTAAGTAATTACTGACTTAAAACAAGCACATATATTTGGCTGAAAAATTACTTCTAAGTTAGTTTGTCTTATTTACTTCATATTTGCACTGGAAACTAGATAAAGAATGAAGGAATATTTTGTGTTTTTTCAGTGTAAAAATACTTTTTTCTCAGTTTTGGGCTCATTTCTTGTTGCATGAGCTTGGTAGCTGCAAACCTTGAGGATTGGGCCGTTATGTAACTGAATGTATGGAGGGAAGAGGAGAGAGAGGAAGAGCGAGTAAAGATCGGTTCTCCGTTTCTCCTGAGTCTCCAGTCATTCACCTTGAACCCAGCAGCTGTTCGTACTGAATTACTCCCATGGCTCGGCGCTCTCTGGGATGTTCGGTGATGAAGGATAAGCTATGCAGGTGGACAAACCGAGAAAAAGGTGAAATTTGTCTCTGCAGCTTCTGGATCTGCAGGACGGATTCACCAATCAGAGCCAAGAGGGATAATCTGGACATAAGAGTCGTTTACACATCCAGATTTAGTGTTTTTATTAAATAAAGAAAGAAAACATATTGATTCCATTTAGTCTTTTTAACATTCATCACAGGTGAGTAGAGCATCCAAAAATTTACTCAAGAATAGAAGTACTTCAGCATAATTTTACTCAAGTACCGAGTAACAGATTAAACTGTTAACATTTAAAAATGACATCATCAGACGGAGCAAAATATAAAGTTAAGTGGAAATTTTGGCATTTTAAGGACCAAAATGACAATAATTCTAAGTAACAAAAAGAAAAAAGAAAATTGTTTCCAAATCAGTTTCTATCAATAAACGACTTTAACAGAAACTGCAGGTGTGTTTTTCTGTCTGGTGGATTTGTGATTAAAACAAGTTTGATTTTCATTCAGTGGGAAGAAAATCCAGAAATTTTACTCAAGTAAGAGCAGAAATACTTCGTAATAAAGTTACTCAAAGTACAGTGTAGTAAAAATACTCCTAAACGTAAAATTTTTTCCTAAAACAAATACTCAAGTAAATGTAATTGAGTAAATGTTTCAATCTGAATCTGGAACTTTATTTTCAATTTTAAGGATTTATTTCCTTAAAACAAGCTCTGTATCCTGCTGAACAATTTCTAGAAATGTTGTCTTATTTTAAGCGTACACAGATATTGGTAGTAGAAACTAAACCAGAGATACTTGGTAATATTTGGTGTTTTTGTCCTGTTCTCTTTAATCTGCAGCGTTTTTAGAGTTGTTGGTTAAAAGTTTTCTGTTTTCTCCTCTTAAATGTGAAGCAGCCACTCCTTTCATAATGAAAATGTGATTTGTAGTGAATCCAATACTGGGGAAAAAAGCCATTTATGTTGTTTATTATTTTTAGCTATTTGTATTTTGCGTTCAGTCCTGGAGCAGACCAGAGTGTTTCTTGCTAAATGGCTGCAGTGTTAGGTAAATAGCCAAGCAGCAGCAGTTTCCAACGAAGTGCTCCGACTCGCTGAGTCAGCGTTTACTTCCTGGGTGTAAGTCCAGGCTGAGCCCTCTGAGACGTCTGTCACCAAAACAGAGAGAGGAAAACAGCTTGAGAGGCCAGAAAAAGACGTTTGCTGGTGTGAAACGCAGAGCCGCCGCCGCAGACACTAAAACAGGTCGGCTACGTTACGACGAGGCTCAACAGCGACCTTGACGTCAAACGTCTTTGTTGAGGAAACAACCAGTTTGATAAGAGGAAAGTTTTAGTAAGCAAGGGAAAAAATCTGTGTTAAAAGTTTAAAATGAAACCAAATTATTTTTTTTGTTTTTTGATGCTTTGGAAACATAAAAATAATATTTTTAGCTTATGATTTTTTTTCAGTCAACCTTAAAGATCTACAGCTGCATGAAAAAAACAAGATATTTGTCAGACATTTTGATTAATAAACTATTAAATCCTCATCAACTTGTTTATTCTCATCTTAAAGACGTGGCGTAAACTTTTGGATAAAAAATGCTTGATTAGTTAATCTATTTAAGTTGAGCATAAAAGTGAACCATTTAAAAGTTCTGGGTGAATTGGATTGTAAACGTCCAAAACGAAAGAAAACATTCAGAACATAAATAAACTCTGCTCTCATGACTCCATGTTGTTTCAGTTCGATATTGTTTGGTCTTGACCAAATATTCACATATAGCTTATAATGTCAAGATGTTAAGTACAACTAAATAAAAAAAGTTATTTTAGGTTTGCAACACTGGCATAAAGTAACTTCATTTGTTTTTATGTTTTGGAGAAATTGATTCTTTTGAGGCAACTGGTTTGCTTAGATTTAACTAAATACAACATATTTATCGAGTAACAAGCAAATAAAATAAATAAAATTTGGATTTTGAAATGCAGAATGGTATTTAAGTGTGCCAAATTATTTCCAGCATTTGAAAGAAACACCCAGCTGATAAACCATTAATGTACAGAAAACAAGTTTTTTATCTTATATTTCCCCAAGAGTGGAGAGAAATATAAGATATTTGTTATCTTATAGTTATTTGTGTAACTAAACATTGTTTTTCCACATGTAATGCCTTTTAGCTTGTATTACTCATTGTTATTCTACATATATTTTTAGGATGCTAACTTGGTGCTTTTGGCGCCTTCTTGTGGTGCAGCAGCAACTTAACTTGCACATACCTTGGACCGGCCCTGCGTCCGATAAATTATCCACACACAGTTCTCATGTGACATCACAGTTTGATGAACCTTGTAACTGACGGCCATCTTGGTATGCAGTTGCTATGACAACAACAAACAAGCTAGCTTAGAAACCAGCTCTCACCTCGTTCCTAACTTATGACCAGTTTAAAGACATTACAACTATTACTCAATTACAGTTTTTGCAGCTTTAGCCACTCACAAGCAGCTAAGCTAGCTTCCTCTTTGGTTACCTAGCAACAACCTGTTGAGTTTCATGTCTTACCAAAAGGCCTCAGAGCTGCATAAAGTGGCACCAAGAGTGATGAAGCGCAGCTGAGGTGTTTTCTGTTTGGAGCAGCTGGTTGTGGTTGTGTGTAAATGATCTGATCAGGAACAGAGGCAACCCGCCGATTAGCCACAGCTCGGCTGTTTTCCTTTTTCACATGTTTATGACTTTCTGTTGTTTTCGGGCTTTTCTTTAATCTGCCAGGTCAGATCACAAGTCAAAACAAGATAATAATAGACCTGCTGGAGCTCTGCTGATTGCAGTAATCACTGCCTGCTGCTTTTGGAAACAACTGATACATGTAACCTTTAACTATAATGAGACAGACGGCCAACATGGGCAAATATACCATATAATAACCGTAATGACGCTCAGCCTTAATATCCAGCAAACAAGTCTGTTTTTACAGCGCATGGTGGGGGAATATGCTGCACCTGTTCTTGGATACGGCAACAGCAAATTTCTCTGTGACTTAAAAACAGCTGGATTACTATAGCTACTAATGTTATAAGGTCAAAGGTGAAAATGAAACGGGAAGAAGAGGAAGGAACATAAAACCACTGCAGATGTTAGAAAACAAAATCTTTCCTCCACTTGATATAGACATATATGAAAGTTTATTAGAAGTTGCTTTGGGATCAATTTGAAGTTTCATTTGAAAATAAAAGGAGAAAAGCGAGTGAAAGGTTTAAAAAGAATAAGAATAGAGGAGAAAAGAGAAAAAACCTTTAGTGTTATTGTTGCTGCTGCTCTTTAGCCAGATAATTAATATGGCACAATAACTATAATGAATTATCCTCCATGTCAACAAACCCATAATTGTTGATTTTTCCCTGTAAAGTAGCACACAGCCTGTTTCTGCTGGGTTTTGTCTGCTTGGTTCAGAGATGTGGACACCAAACTTCACGACTGAAACAAGATGTTGGCTTTAAAGCAAAAATCTAAAACTTTTTCACATTTCACTCGATTTAACAGACAAACTCAGGAAACTCTTTAAAATGTTTCCTGGCCCAGAATATGTAACAGTTTAACAAACAGGAACAGTTCTGGCTTTTTAAACAACAGAAAAAATTATTCCCAGTATTTAATCTTCATATGAAAATTGAGCCGATGGAGGAACTTGACTTTGTTTGCTTTGACCTTCTGTAGTTTTGATCGTTGTTCTGTGAGAACAGAAGCACCTCAGGCTGCGAAGGGAGACGACAAACACAAGAGAAGAACAATACGGAAACCTGAGGGTCGGCTAACAGGTCAGGGGAAAGCAGCGGACGTTTCGGTTCCTCTGGGCCGCGTTGATCAGTAAACACTCCCAAAGCTTTTATATGACACACAAGAAAGGTTTTTAAAGATCAAAAAACAGCAAATGGATTTCTGGAGGTTATGCTTTCAAGAAACAAGAAGAAAAACCCAGCAAAGACCAGAGAGATGAATCACTGAAAGAAACATTTTGGAAACGATGTGCCATCATAGTGAATGGCGACCATAATGCCACGGCGCATGAGGGTCAGAAAAGAAAATTTCCTCCCCAAAAATTAAGAATTAATCTGAGAAATTATCTAGAAAAACCCAGAAATTTCTGAGTTTGAAAAGTTGAAATTTTCCCAGAAAAGACAAAAAAATATATAGATGAATCTCAGACGTTTTCTAGAAAAAAACTGAATTTTTCAGAGTTTAAAAAGTTTAAAATTTTCAAATTCAGAAATTTCCTATAAAATTTCTGACATTAACTTCAACATTTCTGGATTCTTTGGCAGAAACCTACTCCTCCATTTTCTATCAGCAGTAACTCTAATGTGTTGTACATAGCTCTTTTGTAAAAATGCTGAACATTTTTAGCTTAATCTCAGAAATTTTCTGGAAAATACTTGGAAATTTCTGAATTTTAACAGTAAACAAATTTTCAACTTCTGAAATTCAAAAAATTGCCTGTTTTATCAAGACAATTTCTTAGATTGAGCTAAAAATTTCTTGCAAATCTTCGACTTGAGGAGCCAAAAAATGTTCTTATTTTTCTAGAAAATTTCTTAGATTAACCTCTAAATTTCTGTGTTTCTGTTGGAAATTTTCTCTTTTTTCCATCTATAATGGCTCCACTGCGCCGTCGTTCTCAGCTCTTCTGCAAAACGTCAAATTCATTTCCCCAAAAGCGCCGCATACATAAACGTTCCCAAACATAACGGACTTTGTGTTAACATAAAGTCCTGTTTGCTAATGCTGAGATCGTGACCTAAAGTCTAACACTTTGTGTGTGTGTGTGTGTGTACTTACACACACACACACACACACACACACACACACACACAGTCTGGGGTCATTTCCCTGCTCGTAATTGGCTAAAGACATAAAACCAACAAAGCCAAGTAATCTGGCATGGAGTGCACGCTGGTGGAAGACATTGTTTACATCTTTGGACAATTACAGTTGAGTGGACGCTGCCGTCTCCAGGGACGTCAGAGGAATGTAACACTTAAACATCAGCACAGATGTTTTCCCAATCAAAAACATTTCATCTCGGTTGCAGAACGATTTGGATTATTCTGCTTTTTCTTCGCACTTTGCATCCTCCGAAAAACGATCGGGCGATTTTAGGGCGATTACTTTGGCACGTCTTGTCAAACGTCTCCGATTTGCTTCTGATTCCCATGTCCAACACCTCACCCTCTGAACTTTCATGAGGCTGTTTTCATATTTTTAATATTTTAATCTGATGAGATCTGGAGGAAACCACTT